TTTTACTAATTAATTAAATTAAATTAATTTAAAAAATATTAAGATCCATAAGAGTCAACGCCCCTACAAGAGAAATGCTAAGGGCAGTCGTCCTTTCACCCCTCGCTCTACCACCCTCCACGTTATGCAGCCACGTGGCACAAAAATTAAATGCTCAAACAGAAACAAGATGAATGACCCTTTTAACCACTATCTGTACCATCCACCACATTATGCAGCCATGTAGCAGAAAAATTAAATGAACAAACGAGAAACCTGCTACGGTCGGTAAAATTAAAGCGATGTGCAACTACCGATAAAACAAAATTAATTAAAAGAAAAAATTTTCTCCATCAGATTGCTTTCTCCTCCACACAAAAAAAAAAAAAAAAAAAAACCCCAGACTTGGCAAGAAAAACGGCGAGGCTTACCCACAAGAGAATGCTGCAAAGCTCAAAGCATTTCTGATTTCTCAATCACCCATTGCCAAGCTCGATGGAGTGTTTAGAAAAAAAAGGGTTAATGTCAACTATCGTCCCTCTACTATAAAAAATAGTTCAATTTAAACCTTCGATTTTCAAGTCGCCACATGTCGTCCCTCTACTATGAATTAACTGCATATGTCCTCCGCTGCTTTTGGAAAATGCATTGACGTCGTCCCTCCGTCCAAGTTCCGTTCAATTTTCGGTTAACGGACGGTTTGTTGACTGTTAACATTAACTTGTCCAGACACCCAACTGCTTTATTTTTTTTTTTTACACTTGGGCTTTGTGGGCCCCACCAGTGCCACATCAGATGCCCTTTAAATTCTTTGCCGGCACTGTGCAAGCATCAAAATCCCCAATTTTTTTCCTTCTCTTCGATCTCATTCGCCCTTTTCTGATAAACCCTAAAAAGAGTCCATTAAACCCATCAACAATGAACCAAAATCCCCAAAATTAGTAGCCGGCATTGTCCAAGCATCAAAATCCCTAAATTTTTTTCTTCTCTTCGAACTCATTTGTCCTCCGAGTGATGTAGCACAAGCCCGAGCTCATGTTCGACACCCTGAAGCACCGTGTGGATGAGTTTTGTGGGCCGGAACACAACAATTCCGGTAGTGATGATGGTCACTGAACGGCCAATGCTGCTCTAGCTAGCAGCCTTGCTCGATCCTTCCGCAATATGCCGTATCTGGTTTCTTGCTCTCTGACTGCCACTAATAACAATGGGTTTTATTGTTGCAATGAGAATGAGTACAACACCACCGTCGAGTCTGGGGCCACTGAGGACGAGCAGTGGTCTTATTGTTGTACCTGAGACGGCCGACGCTACTTCCCATGTGTTGCCTGCATTCTCTTTTATGTTTTAACTGTTAATTTGGATTTTTTTTTTTTTTTATTGTTTCCAGGATGAGCAAAAGATGTTAGCGAGTAGGGGAGTGTGTCTTTTGCGTTTTGTGGGTAAGAGA